TACAATGAGATTGCTGGCATCGAGATCTATCTAAAAATATTCGCGTCTTGGTTTGAAACGTTCAAAAGCGCACAGAGAACTCATGTTGAACATTAGTCACTGATGATAAGCCTTATTATGGCATAGCACCACTTTTTACATCATTTCTCAGTCTGTTTCAATCGGATCCGGAATCCAGCAGTAAAATTTGATTGCTGTGCATCGAGATCTATCTAAAAATAGTCGCATCTCAGCTGAAACGTGTAAAAGCGCACGGAGAATTCATGATGAACAATAATCAGTGATGATGCGCTTTATTATAGTTATAGCACCACTTTTTAGCTCATTACTCATTTCTGTTTCAATCGGGATCCGGAATCTAATGGTACATTCTGATTGCTGGCATCAAGATCTATCTAAAAATAGTCGCATCTGTAGCTGAAACGTGTAGAAGCGCACGGAGAATTCATGATGAACAATAGTCAGTGATGATACGCTTTATTATAGTATAGCACCCCTTTTTTAGGTCATTACTCATTCTGTTTTCACTCGGATCCGGAATCTAATGGTACATTCTGATTGCTGGCATCGAGAATCTATCTAAAAATAGTCGCATCTTAGCTGAAACCGTGTAAAAGCGCATATAGAATTCATGATAACAATAATCAGTGAAGATAGGCTTTATTATAGTACAGCACCCCATTTTACGACATTACTCAGTCTGTTTTTCAATCGGGTCCGGAATCTAATGGTTCAATCTGATCGCTGTCATGGAGATCTATCTAAAAATACTCGCACCTTTGCTGAAACGTGTAAAAGCGCAAGGAGAATTCATGTTGACATGTTACACTGCTTATACGCTTTATTATAGTATAGCACCACTTTTTTACGACATTACTCAGTCTGTTTCAATCGGGTCCGGAGTCTAATGGTACATCTGATCGCTGGCATCGAGATCTACTCTAAAAATACTCGCGTCTTGGCTGAAAGGTGTAAAAGGGCAAAGAGAATTCATGTTGAATATTACACTCGCTGATACGCTTTATTATAGTATAGCACCCCTTTTTACGACATTACTCAGTCCGTTTCAATCGGATCCGGAATCCAATAGTTAATCTGATTGCTGTCACCGAGATCTATCTAAAAATACTCGCATCTTGGTTGAAACGTGTAAAAGCGCAAAGAGAATTCATGCTGAATTGTTACACTGCTGATACGCCTTATTATAGTATAGCACCACCTTTTTACGACATTACTCAGTCTGTTTCAATCGGATCCGGAATCCAATAATACCATGTGATTGCTGGCACCGAGATTTATCTAAAAATAGTCGCATCTCGGCTGAAGCGTGTAAAGCGCAAGGAGAATTCATGTCAAATGTTACACTTCTGATACGCTTCATTACAGTATACGCACCCCTTTTTACGACATTACTCAGTCTGTTTCAATCGGATCCGGAATCCAATAGTACCATGTGATTGCTGGCATCGAGACCTATCTAAAAATACTCGCATCTTTGTTGAAACGTGTAAAAGCACAAAGAGAATTCATGTTGAATGTTACACTGCTGATACGCTTTATTATAGTATAGCACCCCTTTTTAAGACATTACCCAGTCCGTTTCAATCGGATCCGGAATCCATAGCATAATCTGATTGCTGGCATCGAGACCTATCTAAAAATACTCTCATCTTGGCTGAAAGGTGTAAAAGGGCAAAGAGAATTCATGTTGAATGTTACACTGCTGATACGCTTTATTACAGTATAGCACCCTTTTTAAGACATTACCCAGTCCGTTTCAATCGGATCCGGAATCCAATAGCATAATCTGATTGCTGTCATCGAGATCTATCTAAAAATACTCGCATCTTTGTTGAAACGTGTAAAAGCGCAAAGAGAATTCATGTTGAATGTTACACTGCTGATACGCTTCATTACAGTATAGCACCCCTTTTTACGAGATTACTCAGTCCGTTTCAATCGGATCCGGAATCCAATAGCATAATCTGATTGCTGGCATCGAGATCTATCTAAAAATACTCTCACCTTGGCTGAAAGGTGTAAAAGGGCAAAGAGAATTCATGTTGAATGTTACACTGCTGATACGCTTTATTATAGTATAGCACCCCTTTTTAAGACATTACCCAGTCCGTTTCAATCGGATACGGAATCCAATAATACCATGTGATTGCTGGCACCGAGAATTATCTAAAAATACTCGCATCTCGTCTGAAGCGTGTAAAAGCGCAAGGAGAATTCTTGTCGAATGTTACACTGCTGATACGCTTCATTACATTATAGCACCCCTTTTTACGACATTACTCAGTCTGTTTCAGTCGGATCCGGAATCCAATAGTACAGTGTTATTGCAGGCTTCGAGATCTATCTAAAAATACTCGCATCTTGGCTGAAGCGGGCAAAAGGGCAAAGAGAATTCATGTTGAACAATAGTCACTGCTGATAACGCTTTATTTTAGCACAGCACCCATTTTTACGTCATTACTCAGTCTGTTTCAGTCGGATTCGGAATCCAATAGTACAGTGTTATTGCAGACATCGAGATCTATCTAAAAATACTCGCATCTTGGCTGAAGCGGGCAAAAGGGCAAAGAGAATTTATGTTGAACAATAGTCACTGCTGATACGCTTTATTTTAGCACAGCACCCATTTTTACGTCATTACTCAGTCTGTTTCAATCGGATCCGGAGTCCAATAGTACAGTCTGATTGCTATCATCGAGACCTGTCTAAAAATACTCGCATCTTGGCTGAAACATGTAAAAGCGCATAGAGAATTCATGGTGAATGTTACACTACTTATACGCTTTATTATAGTATAGCACCCCTCTTTACGACACTACTCAGTCTGTTTCAATCGGATACGGAATCCAATAATACCATGTGATTGCTGGCATCGAGATTTTCTAAAAATACTCGATTCTTTGCTGAAACGTGTAAAAGCGCATGGAAAATTCATGATGAACACATAACCAGTGATGATACGCTTTATTACACTATAGCACAGCTTTTTACGTCATTACTCAGTCTGTTTCAGTCGGATCCGGAATCCAATAGTACTATCTGACTGCTGGCATCGAGATCTATCTAAAAATTCTCGTATCTTGGCTGAAACGTGTAAAAGCGCGAAGAGAATTCATGTTGAATGTCACACTGCTGATACGCTTTATTATAGTACAGAACCCCTTTACGTCATTACTCAATCTGTTTCAATCGGATCCGTATCTTTCTTCTATCGTTTCCGTGAAGAAATCGGACCAAAGGGTCAGTGGTCTTCCTTTGGAGCGCTTGACGTCCCGAGGAATCTAGTCAGTAATGGCTCTCGTCCATCGGATGTCGTTGAAGCGCATCACGTGTCCGGTCCACCTTATTTTCGATATCCTGCCGTGTAGAACGGCGTCTCTGATTTTCGATTGTTGACGTAAATCGGAAACTTCGAATCCTTTCTCTCATTTTCGAGATACGGGATACTTCTAGCATCGACCTTTCAACTGCGCGTTCAATAACTCCAAGTGATCTTTCATCCTGCTTACGTAACGATCAGGTTTCTGCTGCATACGTTAGGGCAGGGATAACTGTCGAGTCGAAAAGGTGGGCACGAATAATTTTCACGGAAAAATACGAATAATTGTAATTGATGAACTCGGATTAATTTTTTTTTCATTCAGTGGAAGATGTATAAACTCTATTCTGAGAAAGAAATCATTACGAACTCTGTGCAAGCGCAATCGTGTGAAAATTCTCGACATTGGTTCTCCACAGATAACCATTTATGAAGAGTTAGAAATTTAACTAAGATCTCGTCTAGAGGCAAAACTGAAGCACATCGATTAGGACCGGTCGGCAAGCTAAAATGGTTTGAAATAAGAATTACCTGTCTTCATGAAATTTACCAATCATTTTGGTGCTTTGTTCCTTGAACTGCCTGTATCACAAAACTAATCTACGGATATCTGGTGCGGTCTGTCCAAGAGAATACTCCGAACACTCTTCTAGAGATAACGGAGGAATAGCTTAACCTGGTTCAGATATGATTAGAAAGAGCCTATTTGAGAGACGTGAAATAATTCGTTGATTGTAGTTTTTTCTGCTCCTACCCATTAAGCGGCCTGTCAATCTGAATTCATATTGACTGTAGTTATTCATTGAATATCAGTGCAATTGATAACTCCTTTGAGTAGTGATGTACCTGCGCTGACGCACGACTTTACAAAAACATTTTATGCTGAGAAAATCTTTCCAAGACATTTGGTGACTATGCGATAGCTCATACCTATGCAATATCATCTTTCTCGAATGCATTATAGAAGCAACAATAATATTCTATATCATACTCGGTTTGCTTTTTTTTTTTCTTCTCCTAGGACTTTCTGATGTACTTCCAACAGTCTCTCAGCAACTCAAATTTCAACAATCTTGAAGCTGGAACTGGTTCTTCGAAATGTCTCGTGAAGCGCTTTGAGAATAAAAAAAGATCAAGTTTCACGCTCGCATTAAAAAGCAGTCGCTGAAATTCCTAACGACTTTAATTTCTCTCCTTCAAGTGCTTTATTAAGACCACGCTCAAATTTCATTAGATCCTTTCATTTTCATTTGAGCCAACATGTCATGTGTTCTGTTAAGGGCTCTTGTACAGCCCGAGACACGTGTTTCTCGTCCTTACAGACTCATCAGCCGGGCAGAGCCCGTCGTCTGTCGATCTTTTTATAGTCAGTTCTCTCGGGAGCCTTACACTCCTTATATATAGTTATCGACGACGCACGCTTTATACTCTATCTGTAAGAGGTCTGTAAGGACGAAACACTTGTCTCGGGCTGTACAAGAGTCCTTACCAGACCACATGACATGTTGGCTCAAGTAAAAATGAAAGGATTTTAATTTCATTAATAAAGGTAATTTATATGTTAGAGGTATTTCATCAATACTAAAGCAGAAACTACTACAACGAAAACCTCAATAAAGGCATTTTGCAGTGTAAAGTAGAAAAAGTGGTAAGAAAACGGGCGAAGATAGTGCAGTTGGTTAAGCTCGCTTTCCGCAAAAGGTTAAATGTGGGTTCGAGTCCCGCCTGACGTCAAGTTTTTGCAAATCACTCAAAATTGAAAAAATTTTTATCAACTAAAAACGATTACTTACTCTAGAAATCCTAATTTTTCGAAGAAAAATCACATCAGTGTAAAAAGAGCTTAGTTTCAGCTCCTATAGTACATTTCATTGCTTATCTGTGGAGCATGCAGTTCAAAAACACTTCCTTTACAGCGAGGGACTTTCCAAAAAAAATTTATATAAGGAAGCTCTCAATATGGGGAGGAGTGATGTAAGAAGAGTGCGAGTTCACTTTTGTGGAGAGTACTTTTATGTAAATATACATAATTCTGATCTACAGCATGCATAAGGCCAGTAACTAAGCATTTCTTTTACTAAAAATATTATTCCAGCAATCAGTATCATATTCACTAAACATCGCACTACATAAGTTTACCTTGTAGTGACGCCAATCGAGAATTCAAACTTCTTCCGCGAAATTTGTACTTTTGACAATCAACAATTAGCACATCCTAAAATAATTAATTAGTAATTGATTGTTACCTACACAATATACAATATGAAATTCCAGCTCATTCTGAACAATCCTAATTTCGAGAGTCTAGAACGTTTACGCCCACATTTTTTAACGAGAAGAACTGGAACATTCTAAGCAAACAAAGTTACTTATGGACTGCATCTCGTATGTCTTAACTTAGTTTTGCATCGAACTCATGCAGCAACGTCCACCTCTGCCAACTTTCAGAACCACTCAATAATGTCGACGGTGCTCTGATGGATACAATCTATCCACTGGCATGACAGCGGGCTCCAATTTTTTAAAGAAGGATTTCTAGGAGGTGAATGGCTACTCTAATGCTATTTCACATGTGGAAATCTCGCAACACCTATTTGCACGTGGAAAAACACGAAATGCATCATCTCATTATGAGACGTATTCCCACTGATAGTTCTCCTTCGTGCGTAGACATTCGCTTGCTGCAATATCAGCTGCGAAACACTCGCAGAAACATCTGACGGTGTTCGACTGGTTCCGGAAACACAGCTCGACACCTCCCTGGACACTTGTGGAGTGCCCTTTAAAGGTAGCATCGTGGGTGACTGCACACTGGTCAAGTACTCTCTCACGTCCTAGCATTCGAAGTGCCTTCTTGTGTATAGCACAAGCTATTACCTTAAGAGTCACTATCAGCGGTTCTCACGTTTTTCGCAATACTCGCATCTAATTCACTACCAGTATCGTCATCGACGCGTATAAAAAAGTAATCAACCATGGTTTCCCGTCTTCTTCTCCAAACACGACGGCCGCCACAAGTTTAGCTCTTCGAAATTCACAAAAAGATGTACCAAGTTATAATGTAATGGTACAACAAACCCAATACTTAGGATTAGCGAATTCATCACAGAATGCATAAAATTGGCTCCCTTGTGTCCAAATATAACAATTTTTTCACAATCAGTTGCTTCGTAAAATGTACATTTCTTATTATGGACATTGGCCAGCACATCTTCTAGCAACTGTGGAATCACTTTAATGTGACATTGATGTAGAGCCCGAGTAAAACGCAATGTTGATTTATTACGCTTCGCTTGTGTGGAAGAACACATGTGTACTCCCGTCCAAATTGTGAATAGAGCTAGACACGTTGAAACAATGGTAAGTCGAAAAACCTAAACTAGTTACTTTTTACTTTAATATACTTCATTTGATCCGTCATTACAGAGCTTTTTTCTACTGTGCGGATCCCAGTACTTCTACCACTCAATTAGTTTTTCGCCTTCTTCTTGAAAAGCGTGTAATACTGGTTGAGCGAGTCTTCTTGCAATCTCAAGGATAGCCTAGTTGCGGCGTTCCGTAGGACGTTGTTCTTGACTGCCGAAGAGAGTTGGGGTAGAACTTGGCTTGCGCGCGCCGCAGCGAGCATTACAACCACTTGGCCACGCCCCTCCCCACACTCCTTACATTACCACTTTATTGGATCCTAATCATATTTTTAGCCTCAAAAATTTGAATTCGTTCAGAACATCATAAAATGAAGGTCATGCACATTTCTCCAATCTCAAGGACTGGTCGGGAAATCTGTTATCGCTTGTCGAAGACTGCTGAGAAAGCTTGAAAAAAGAAGTACGCGTAAGGCGACTTTACCAAGTTACTTTCTGTGATTACTGCATAACATTTTTCGGCACTCCATAAGTTTTCAACTTTTCCTCGTACACATCTATGAATAGTCGGAAACAAACAAATCGCCCATAATATCTCAGCTATAGTTAAAGTTATTGATAACCTTGTTTCGCATACATTAGGCCATATCTATTTTAACGAACTGATCATTGTTTTCTAACTTACAATCATTGCGACAACTCTTGTCTATGCAATAAGGATATCAAAACTCATAGGAGCCTTTGCACTACTTTTAGTAGCTCACTGAACGACAGTAATAGTAGACCTGGGAGAATTAAGTGGTAGTCAAAAACGCGCCCTAGGACGAGTGAAGCGTGGGTTCAACTCCCGTCTGAGGTCAAATTTTTTCCTACCACGTAGTAGAAACGTAGGAATTCTTGGATTTGTGTGAGTCAACAATAGTATTACTGTGTTATGAACAAGAATTTCTTCTATACTCTTCAAACAACTAGAACCTAGACCATCCATTACGGAACTAAACTTCTCAACATCATCATATTCACTTACGGAATGTTAATTAAATTTACTTCATTTTCCCAAGCACCATCAGTCATATATTGGTAAGTTTTCTTTAGAACATGAAAGCACTGAATTTCTGCAAAAATTAGCAAGCTGTTACTATATTGGTTGACTCTCTAGTGGACAGAAGTCTGTTGAAGATTCAATTTACGATGGACTCGAAGTAACATCGAAAGAAATATCTCGCCATAAACTAAATCATCTTCTCAAAACCGACTATTGATTAACCTCGCCATTGAATGAAATTTCTCCGCATTATCTCTTTTTTAGCACACACGAGGTTTTTGATGCAAGTTTATTTTGTACAAAGTAGTACAATAGAGATCGTATCCGTGGACAGTGTTTCGGCAGTCTTGCCTTCCTCAGAGCCTGACCTGAAAGAGTCTGACTGATCTACATCAACCTAGTCAAACATTTCCGTAGCTAAAGTAGAAATGCAGCGGTAGAATGAAGCGCGCGATTGGTTGTGATGTGCGTTCACCTCCCATCTGAGGTCAGATTCTTGCTTATCACTTTATACGATTGGGTGATCATGATCACAATAATACTGATTAGAAATAAAATTCAGATTTTAATTTTGCTGCTGAAATGAAATTATAATGAATCAAATCTCTTCCTAAACAGATCTAATTCCACAGAATACCATAACAATACAGAATGCTGTGCTCCAGCCACGACACCATCCGTGAGTTCAATCCAAACTGGTGGAGCATGACATCTGGCTTAGAACAGTGACAACTTATGAAGTACTAATCTCTACTTTTTTCTATAAGAAACCTTTTTTCAAGATTTTTTTAAGAGCACTAAAAAAATGACATAAAGAGTCGAATAACCAACGTTGTCTGAGACGAATTATCACACCCTGACTTCTGTAGAATGAAGGCGTGTCAAAAGCATATATGGACGTAAAATTTGTGTATGATGAGTCCATGGTAAACAAAAAAAATAAATGAATGTGTCGATTCACCCAAAATAGACTAGCTCTGAAAGTTATGCAAGTTTTATTGTGTGATAAGTGTATCCCAATAAACTATTCGTATGAAAGCTGGATGTGAACGCCATGATCTCATTTCATCAACTAACAATGGCGGAGAGCGTGATTACTCCTCAACAGGAATGCTCGCCACGTTCTGGGTCTTCACGCACACATCACAGCAAACCTATATCGCCGCGCTGTAGCCACACAAAATCGATGGGAGACGGTGAACAAAAACAGAAAAAAATGTAACTCGTGTAAGACATAGGTGTTTTTTTTTTTATTAATGACTAGCGAATGCCATTTCCAGTTGCTGATGAACATGGGTTTCCTCTAGCTGTTTACATGGACACTGGCGCTCCCGCTAGCCCATCGCCAAAGGTGAAATATGATTGAGCTATGTTGCTTTACGATGAGAATGTTAAGAGTCAAAATAAAAACAAAGCGAGCTATAGATAGCCAGAAGAGCAAGGCAATCATTATGGCTGGATCAACACCGGCGCCGTATTCAGTGCATCTATAACAGTGAACACTGCTATTTTATGAAGTTTATCGATCGCGCATACAAATGTCATAGTAGAATAGATCATGTTTAACTTATCAAAAGAGTATTCAGTTTTCTCGGGTTTTCATGCAAATGTTGTTGGTCAAATCCAAACCGAAAGATAGTTGAATACTTCATACTTTTACATAGACACTACAGTATACTTGATTTATTGCTTAGGTGGAGGACAAATGCGAATACCAAGGAGGGCGACAAGTGAAATTGTGGAAAATTATGTGGTAAATTTAGGTTTTTGGATGACATTATCATTACTATGTGATGAAATATCACGAAAAAAACTCTTATAAAGGTTTTCTGGGCTTCGTTAATGTGAACAAAACTCTCAGATTTCTTAAAAAAGGCACTATTCCTCATGAACAGATTGAAATGCAGTGGAATCGTGTAAAATGTGCCCGTGTTTACTTTCCTTTTACACTCAACAGGGCTTTTTCATTGACTTCCAGTAATCATTCAACAGCTCCAATACTGGAAAATTTTGTGCTAAACCTAATTTGTCAAAAGATCGTCATAGTAAGCTTTGATAACAACAGAAAAAATGACTTATACTCATAAGCGCTGGGTATCAGAAGTTTGAGGTGCTCCTGCCTTGCACAACAAGTCATTGGTTCGATCTCGCATCCCATGGCTCACCCAGCCTTCCATTCCTCCCGTGTTCAGTAGAACTATGTCATAATTCCAAAAAAAGAATGATTTAAGCTCAAAAAAGGGGTTGGTAAGCCCAGGGTCATACACCGGTGCTTCGGAGGTTCGTCCTCCTCATCAGTGACCCCCGCCCCACATTCAGCCCTGCATTGAAGCA